CTACCGGCGTATCGGCCAATCCAAACTAAATATTAGGTTAACCGATCCAAAGTCTACCGAAGTCTTTGGTTTGGTTAACGGATGAGAAAATGGTCTACCGAAGTCTTTAGTTTGGTTAACGGAAGAGCCTTCTACCGTTTTGAACCGATCCGTGCCCAGGCCTAGTGTATTGTATGAGACTTTTGAGTGTGTGATATACATACCAAATCACATAACAAATCACACCCTCCTATGCATGATTCTCATATATCCTCTCATACTTTTTTTCCCCACTATTTTTTCATGCTTTTTACTGTTTAAAAAAAAAAATCATAAGAGATACGATAAAGGGCCCACATCATAGCACACTGCCCATTTTTCCTCCTTTCCCTCTTCCTTTATTTTTTCTTCTTTTTTTCCCTTTCTTTCCTCCTCCCTTCTCTGACCCGCTTTCTCCTTTTTCCTATACTCTCCTCTCTCCCTTAGTGTACAGTAAACAACCACCAATTTTTTTCTTTCTCCAGAAAAAACAATCACCACTAAACCCCTAAACCCACCTCATCTTCCTCCATATGATTTGGTTACCCTTAAATCCAAAACTAAAATCTTCCAAATCCAATAAACTGCCAAATTATGAATCAATCAAAATATGACAAAAGAAAATACGAAATTGCTTGCTCTTAGTCTTAATCCCAATTTCAAAATTCAAAGCTTGCCTCTTTGATTTTTGATTGATGTGGCTGGTTGGTTACTAGTACTAATGCGTTACAGAAGAAGAGATTCTGAAAAAGATGAGGCAGACACCTTTTTAAGGGTGGCGGTAAACATACACCTTTTGGTTAATGTGGTGAGCAAAAATGCTCCCATAGAAATATAAAGTAAAATCATGCAATTGTAATATATTAAAATCATAAGTAAAATCATGTAATTGCAATGTATTAAAATCATAAGTAAAATCATGTAATTGCAATCTATTAAAATAATAAGTAAAATCATATAATTACAAATCCGGTTGAAATTCATTATATTAAAATCATGTAATTACAGTATGTTAAAATCTCAATTGAATACACCCCCTTTAAATGAAGAATATATAAATAAATAATTAACCTTTTGTTTTCCCTGGCTTCTCTTTCTCCTGTGTTTTGTTTTTGGGTCATGCTAAGGAGACCAACTTTAGATACCAACTTGTGTACCAACTCTCTAACAGAGGTGGAGCCCACCAATACAATGGGTCCCACACTCTATTAGAGAGTTGGTACATAAGTTGGTATCTAAAGTTAGTCTCCCTAGCATTTTCCTTTGTTTTTTGGTTAACCGTTTCCTAGTGCTAATAAGTCAGACGAGAATACTACTGGGGTAGGCCGTTCAAAGTCATAATCATAATATATATATTAATAATTTATCGAGCCAACCAAAAATTACGACTATAATTAATAAGCTCAGTTCAATGAGGATGGGCTATAGCTGTCTACGTGGAATATAATATAGGCAATTAGGCATGCTGCATGCAATGGAAGGAGAATGTCATCTTATTCACCAAAATTTGGGAGTATCTGCCGCAGGTCAAGTTTTCAATATGCTAGGGACCTAGGGTTCTTGGTTATCATATATATATTTAATCAAAGACGACAACAAATTAACATATTTAAAACAAAACTAACGGGGACAAAAGCCGCACTAAAACTACTAACTCACATTACCACAATTAACCATAACTCCAAACAAAACTCACAAACCCAACATAAATAAACCCTAAAGCAACCTACGAGCCTAATTGATTACTCACAAATCCTAATTGAATGCACCCACCTAAATGAACCTTATCATGTATAAATATACATATCTGACTAATTTTATTTGCTTGTATTTTTTTGTTTAACTTTGTTTTAAAGTTTATCTTAATATTTGAGTCTTATTATAAAATCTTAAACTACAATCAGAAGTTTTAAGATTGAGATAGATTTGGTTGGAACTGAAAATAAAGCAATATTAAGACAAATGAATCGATTTCCATATAAATCCATGCGTGCATAGAACATTCTTGTTATTCATTGGTCAAGTTTTAAGACCAACCCTAGTCCGGTCATATGCAGGGTGGGGAGGGAGGGGCAGGTGGGATGATAATTTAATTTACTATAAAATGGACCGGCAATATAGAATTCAGTTGTGATTTGCACAAGTCTATATTAAGGAGAGTTTTCAATCGTGAAAAGCTGGCAAATTGTTATTTGTGCCAATAGGTTTTGTAATTCCAGGGATCAATTATTTCCTTTTTATTTCTTGTTTCCTTGTCTTTAATGTGGGGGATGGTGATGGACATTAGGTCTAGAAAGAAAGGTGGGTGGTGCAAGTAAATATTTTCTTATTACGTGAAAAAGTTTGAAATTCTAGGTTGATGATGAAGTTTTAGCTATTTCACTATGCTGAAATAGCTTCTGCAATTATTTTGAACGCATTCCATACCTTAGAGGATGAAGTTTTAGATGCACTAGGAGTTTGTAAGTACCAGGCTATTCAATCCATCGAACACCCTTACAACTACAACTTTAGATCCTAACTGCAGATTATTGATTGAATCAAACGAACCTGTGGAGAAGATCATTCCCAAATAACCCTTATTTTTTTTATTTATTTATTTCAGAATGCACTTATATCTGTGCGCAAAAAAGAGAGGATATTGTTGTATTAATAATTGGTATAAATTAATGTGCTCATCATCTAATTAAAAATAGGGACATTTTAGAAAAAGCAAAAGGAGAGAGAAAAATTTTAAAAAAAGCAAAAATGGACAAAAATGCCCATATTTATTTTTAGATTTCCTAAGGAATCCAATACATTTGCATGTCTTTGATTTGAAAGTTGAGTGGTTTTTTTGTCTTTTTCAAAAAAGCTTTGGCTTTTTCCAAAAGTGAAATTTTTTTTATGTCTAAAACCTAAAAAACCTTTGTTATTTATATGGTTGGATTCAGCATGAAAAACTAAAGAACCCAACATGGAACAAATGTCAAAATCATTTACATAAATGTAGAGAATTCAATAAAAAGAACACTCAAATGTTCAAACAACAAACACAAGTGGCTCCTAGTACATCTTGAGTACATATTGAATGATATAGTAACTAAATTATTTGATTTCATACTTGGATGAATTAGACTATTGGATTTTTATATTTTACAAGGATAATTTAGTGTATTTGTTCAAGAACTTATGTTATGTGAAAGTATTATAAATTGTATTTTTATTAGTATGTTTTTATTATGGTACTACCGGCGTATCGGCCAATCCAAACTAAATATTAGGTTAACCGATCCAAAGTCTACCGAAGTCTTTGGTTTGGTTAACGGATGAGAAAATGGTCTACCGAAGTCTTTAGTTTGGTTAACGGAAGAGGGTTCTACCATTCCGAACCGATCCGTACCCAAACCTAGCTAATTCTATATAAAAAGTTTTCATAATTAAGTTTTTGTCCTTAAATTGCAATAATTAGTAAACTACATGATTCATATTGTAGCAATTGAAATTAGAGTGACCAAAGTGGAACTTAATCAAACTACAAAGACCAAAATCATAATTTGAGTCGTTACATTATGACTTTGCATTTGAAATACAAATATTTGAATTGTTTTCCAGTTGTTGTTGGTTTTAGTCGTCTATTGTTTAGGAGAGGCTTTTTGCATCCCTTATATATTATTTTTTTCATGTTTTTTGTGATTTTTTTTCTTCCTCTTCTTCCACTTGAACTACAAGCCCTTTGTGTTTCCTCAACATTTTTAGTTACAACACATATCTCATAGCTACACAAGATATCTAATTATATTTCTGTCCAAAAATATATATATAATCATATTCATTTTCCAAATCCAATGATGCCCTCAATTATAAGTGAAACCTTGAATGCCACAAACATTTTTAGTTTTATTTTTATTCTTGTCCTAATATTTTAGGGCACTTTGGAAAGTTTGTATAAGTGTGAGAAAAATTGGCCTTTAGGCTTCCTTTGTTGGACTTCATTTAGTTTCGCCTATGTCTAAGTTGATAGTTATGTCCTTTGTTTGGTCTTCTCTTTGGAGTTGGGGTCTTGCTTCTTTTTCTTTTTTTGCTTTCAACATTTTTTTTTCATTTGTTTACAAATTAAAAATTAAAAATTAGAAACTGTAAACTGAAATGGTTATCAAACAGGCTCAGGCTCTATAATATGGTTTGATTGTAATTTTGAGATTTTGTAAACTCGCCTAAACTGAACAAGACCAACCACTTGTATTTATTTTTATATTAGATGTATAATATTCTCATTGGCTAATAACCAACCTGATAAGGATTTTTAATTTGAATTTTGGTGGAACTTTGAAGTTATTGATTTTTGGGTTGTAATTATTAATTTATTAGTTATTAAACTTTGAAGTTTGATGGCATATCAAATTTTAAGATGATTTGAGGTGCTAGAAAATTAAAAATATATAGCAAGCTATGAGAAAAGTTTCTTATAATACGATTGATTTGATTACCTATTTCAGTTATTAAAAAAGAGAAAATTTCTCTACAATGTATATATATAAACAAAAAAAAATGTAAATATATATATATTTTTTCTCATATTAATCAAGGTATATTGTTTGAGAATTAAGGTATATTTTTTGAGAATTATATATATTTTTTTATGAAACAATAAATAGATTTTATTTCAACAATAAAGTTAAAAGTATAAAACGTATTTTGCAAAAGATTTTTTTGCCTACAATTTTTCAAAATTCTTCAATTTTGTCTTTTTATGGCAGCTGGCTAGGTTCGTTAGCTGTCGTTGTCAAAGTAAAAATAAATAAATTAAATAAATTTGTAACTTCACGCGTATTGGCGCACTTAAAACCCGACCGTTGGAGAAAGAAACTTCATTTCTCAAACCCTAATCCCCAATCGTTCATCTTCCTGTTCTCCGAATCAAGAATTCAAGTGTAGCCGCTCATTCTCAGTTACAATTCCAATTAACCCAAGAAATAGTTTGTATTTGCTCTGAAGAAATCATGAAACGGAAGGCAGAGCAAGAATTAGAAGAAAGAGGGAATAAGCAGAGGATATGGTGGGGTGATGGAAATCAGTGGGAGAGAGGGGAGATGATCGGAGAAGGAAGCTATGGGTCTGTTTTTCTTGCTTTTTGGAAAAAACCCCTTTGGGAGCTTAATCTAAATGATACGCCTCCAGCTCCAGTCATGGCAGTCAAATCTGCTAAGCTCTCTGATTCAGAATCCATTCAGCATGAGGCAGGCATTCTTTCTGATTTTATAGGGTCCCCTTTTGTGATTCAGTGCTTGGGTGAAGAAATCACAACCATTGATGACACAGGTGAAGAAATATTCAACTTGGCTTTGGAATTTGCTGCTGGAGGAACCCTTGATGGTCTGATTCAGAGCTATAGAGGTCATGGGCTGCCTGAGTCTGATGTGAGAAGCTACACAAGGTGCATACTTGAAGGGCTTATACATATTCACAATTGTGATTATGTTCACTGTGATTTGAAGCCGGAGAACATCCTTCTTGTTCCTAGTGATACTAGCACCAGTGGTAGTTCTAGTTTTGTGGCCAAGATTGCTGATTTCGGATTGACTAAGAGCACCAAAGATGATATGGATGGATGGAGAGGCACTCCTAGGTATACAGACCCAGATGCTTTGATTGATAATGTGCAGAAGCAGTGCTCTGATATTTGGTCTCTTGGTGCTATTGTGCTTGAGATGTTAACAGGCAAGCCCCCCTGGGATGTGGAGCCTGATTCGACACTTGATGATTTCCTGGACATGGTTGCTGGGGAAATAACTCCCAAAATCCCTACTGAAATCTCTGGTTTGGCAAGGGATTTTCTTATGAAGTGTATTGCAGTCAACTCATGGGAAAGGTTTACCGCTCAAAAGCTCCTACTTCATCCATTTGTACAGGAGCCACAACTATCTGAACCAAGTCATGCCAAGGTGAAGGTGCTTAGCTCATCTTTGGGCTCCGAAGATGGTGCCTCTTGCTTCAAACCAATTGAAGATTACCGCACAAACTCTGCCCCTGTTCCCAGAATTCAGCCCTCACCGGGTTTTGAGATACCAGCTGGACTATAGAAGTTGAGGTTCTATTTCATGAGACAAACCTTATGATTCTTTATTCTAGTATTTTTTTTATTTGTAAAGTCGATCACTTGAAATTATTCATTTCAAGGTCATAACCACGAAATTGTACAAAATGATTCAAACATATATACGAGTTGTTCTTTACTTCTGCCAATCCTGATTTCTTTTCACTTGTATTGGTCCTTATTTTTGTTGCCTGTTTAGAATGACTGAGATTTATCCAAAAGATAGATTAAGTAATATTTGTAACAGTGGAGATCTGATCCAAGCACAAAGAACTTTTTGAGTGGCAAAACTGCTTTAGTTGTACCAGTTGGACCCGTTTTATTTTCTGATCATTCTGGTTAAACCAGTTTTTTGTTTGTTCTAGAACCACAAAGATGCCTACCTTTGTTTGTTTGTTTGTTCTAGTTGTTGTCTACTTATGCTAGTCCTGATTTCTTTTTACTTTTAAGAGTCCTGATTTTTGTGTTGTTTTATTTTCTTTAGTAGTGTGTGCAGGTTCGTAGTTGTGAGATTATTATAATTCTGCTTCTAGGATATTAATCAGTTGAATGATGCAAGTTTATAACTATTATAGCCCTTGTTCTTTTTATTAGTCCTGTTTTGCCTAATTCCGGAAAAGGAATGGTTTCAGATTGGCTACTTGAACAGTCCCTTGAAATTCCATTGCACACACCACAAGTGGCAAGTTTATAATTAAGCTACCAGCTAGGATTTAAATCTGATACCGTGTTGGAACCATTTGAATCTTCTGGACTCTCAATGTATACAGGTTTGACAAAAATTTGGAGCGACTCAGGATCTCCTTGGTTTGATAGTTTTGAAATGGGGCAGAATAGTATCTTGGCTTACAGATATGGTTGGTCCATCATTTTACCATTTGTGTGTTTGTTAGGTCCTTGTTTTGCTAGTTTTGGCTTACAGATGGGTGTTCCCTTCATTTTATTTTATACATTCTGGCTTTGTATTTTAGTCTTCCAATCGTTCAGGAGAGACTTTTTGCAGAATCCATTCAATGCCATTTTCCTCTTTTTTTGTGATTTCTTTCTTCCTCCTCTTATAATTTACCATTTGAATTACTTTACTTATGCATAATCCATGTCTAGTTTTTGTTTGCTTTAACTAGTCCTAATATTGCAGAAACTGAGGTCTTAAACCATTTGTTCAACAATGCCTAGAATTTAAATACTCATCATCCACTAGTTTGAAATTAAGTCATTTGTTAATCAATTAGAGTTGCTTCTTTAGAATCACTGAGATTTATCCAAAAGATAGATTACATTGTCTACATCTGTCTTTTTTTGGTCGAATCATCTATATCTTTGTCTAAGTATGACTAAACAAACATACTTAGAACTAACTAAAACATTGACAAGTAAAAGGGCTATCTGCTTTCCATCGAGGAAGAAGACATGGATGGTGTTTTCTTCTTTTTATTTTGTTTTCCTTTGTCATCTCTATGCCTTCTACATTTTGGTCGATCTTCATGCTTCAGCCATTCAACTTTTTCCTTAATGAAATTTCCTACCAGACAATTCCCAAGAAGAATAGGAAGGTTGGCTGCAATGCAGAATTGAGTTAGCTCTAGCATTGTCAATCCATCTTTGTGCAATATACATGCATTGTCACGTACTAAAAACAGGCTAACCATCATGACTTTAGGTATGGGGTGATATCCTGATGAATTCAAATATCTGACTTTTAGTTCGATACCTTGTTTGCTTAGCTCGGCCCCTGACTACAAAAGCATATGCTACACTGTGTGATGTGCGGGAACTTTTTGTTTCACTTTTAATTATCATAAATTCACTTGCCTTTGTTCAAAGCATAAGAAAAGTTGTATAGTTAGGAATGTGGAGTTTAGACTGGGGTAATTTGGCCTGTATAGAGTTGGCGTTTTAAAAATTACAAAGATGATAAATGTCTTCGAGATTGTATGAGACTAATTTGTGGGATTAGTGGAAGGGAGGTCATTGTCCCTGTATATCCGGGTAAAAGCAATGTGGTATGTGTAGCATTTGATCAAAATTGATAAACATTGTTGGCTAAATTCCTAACAACTTAACATTGGAGTCTCTTGACCAAAAAAAAAAAATCTTGAAGTCTAGTACTTATCTAATATGGCATCAGAGGTCTGGTTGCAGAACGTGATGAGTTCGAAACCTCCAACCCCATTCCCTTGTTCTTTGTTGGTTTGCAAGGTGCAGTAGCGGGTGGGGCTATACCTATATGTTTCCATGTGTCCTATCTCTTCGCTTCTCTACTTACAAGATGAGGCCGCACGTGAGGGAGGGTGTTAGCTAGACACCCATTCCCTAACAATTTAAGCTTTTAGGTCCAGTGCTTGTTTAACAGTTCTAATGCAGTAAGATTTATATGACCAGCACAGCAAAGTGTCAGTTGCATACAAAAATGTAATATTTCAAACAAGGACAGTGCACAGCATTTATTCCGAGTTATGTACACAGTGGAATGATCTGACTGAATCTTTATGACAAGCTTAAGTTTTTATTATGGTTTAAGCCTTTACTTCTCGTGCATTTTTATTTTCTGAATACTAGTAGCTCAAGTATCTTGTAGGGTCTTAACCAATTTATTGAAATTTTTCGACCATTGTTCGATAAAATTTTAGTCACTAGGGCTGCCTGGTACTTGTTAGCTGTAGAGTGCTATGACACATGCTGGCGGGGAGGCTTGTATTGAAAGTAAAAAATGTACAATAAACTACTTGTACTGTGGCATTTCTGAAAATGTCCCAGGATACAAAGAATGGTCAGATATCAGAGTGGATGTTCTTATTAAGAGCTGCACCGCTCAAGGTGACAATCCACCATTTAATTTTGGAATCTTTACAGAGGCTATAAGTCCAAAAGGTCACTGCATCCAAAGAATTTTTCTCCAAATTTGTGTTCTGTTTGAGGTATTATACTCTGATATATGTATGCTATAGCTGATGTTCTAATTCCAGGAAAAAGTGAGTAATTACACCATTCTTTTTATTTTTACTTTTTTTGAAGGGTGTGGTCCTTTTATTTGTTCTATTTTGCAGGGAGAAAGAGGCAGCGAAGAAGGAAAGCGAATCTTTCCAATCGAATATTCTCGTGGGAAAAATCGCTCCCACAGATACCACAGACTACAGATGAGTCTCCATATGGTATGCATAAGGTTACAGGCTACCACAGACTACAGAAGGTTACAGGCTAGCTAGTCTAGGCTGTCTATTATGTCCAGCTTATACGTACATTAATTGGTGTAGTCTCTCTTGTTCTTTAAATTTTGTTCATGCAATGGTAACTTGTATAAGAAAGGTCTCAGAATTAGTAGCAAGAGCACCCTGAGCATGTTGATGGATATAGGGCCCCTGTGGTTCAAATCCTAGTGGCTAATAAGCTCGAAACATAATGAGGCGGAGAGAGGCTGAAACAAGCTTCATTAATGGTAAAGTAATGAACCAACTGTATCACCAACTAAATTGAACAAGTAGAAGAAGAGGAAGAAATAAATCACAATTATCTGGAAAAAGAAAAATGAATTCGAATCTGCAAAAACAAGAAAGCCTCTCCTATAAACATAAAAGACCAAGGCCAACAACAGATCCAACAACAGATATAAAGTCAAAAACTAATCCAGAATGTAACAAGCACCAGCTATGGCAAAATCGCATGCATAGCAGCAAGTACCAACCAAAACAGCTGTTTTAATAAGAAGTAGCCAATCAAATGAAGTGTACACTCATCAGGGAGAGTGAATCTGCATCAGAAATTGGACAGAAACTTGAGTGATTGCATAGTTCTGTCATTATAAACTTGAAACTTTGAAATGGTTAACTGCAATTAAGGGACTTTAAAAATGGAAAAGTAGTTAAGTGAGCAATCTTCCACCATCCCGGAATTAGGCCAAGCAATAAAAGGACAAATAGTCCCAAAGTTACTGCAAATCTTTGTGAATCTATTTATCTCCAGTGCAGAAGCGAGTCTAGATTATTGAAATAAGTCATTAGTCATCTGATCTAAATTCTAGTAGCTTAATTAGGATTAGGTCGCAACTACGGGCGTGCGCACCTTGTTAGAGCTAATAAAGCACAAAGAAATCAGGGCAACCAAAAGTAAACACAACTCAGTACGAACAAAAGCAAACAAAAAACCAGGACAGAAATTTTGAATCACTTCGAACAATTCCGTGTTAATAAACTTGAAACAAATAGTTTCAAGTAAGGGACTTTACAATTCAAAAGAATACAACAACAAAGAACCTAACACATTTGTACTGAGTTTATCACATCAAACAAGAGCAGCAAGTATCTCAAAACCGGGTGGTGGCGGAATTCTGCGAACAATGGCAGAGCTTGCGTGACAATCTGCACTTGGTTTGGAGCCATCTGCATAGCCTGAAGATGAGCAAACCACGTTCCCCTTTGTATGACGAGCTGCTTTCGATGGCTTTGGCCGTACAACGAATGGATGAAGCAAGAGCTTTTCAGCGGTCAGCCTTTCGCAAGACCTCATGGCAAGGCAACTCCTAAGAAAATCCCTGGCCACACCAGAGACTTCAGCAGGGATTTTGGGAGTACATACGTGATCAAACATATAGTGGAAATCTTCAAGTTCACAACCAGGCTTTAAATCTGAGAAGGACTTGCCGGTTAGCATCTCAAGTACGATACAACCAAGAGACCATATATCAGAGGGCGGCTCCTGCTCACTGTCATTCAAGGCTTCTGGGGACAGATACGTAGGAGTGCCTCTCCATTGACCGTAATTCTCCTTGGTTTTCTTAGCCAATCCAAAATCTGAAATCTTGGCCACAAAACTACCAGTGGTAGTTGCAGGATTTGGTACAAGCAGAATGTTTTCCGGCTTCAAATCACAGTGAACGTAATCAAACTTGTGAATATGTTTAATCCCTTCAAGTATCGACCTCGTATACCTTCTAACTTCAGCTTCAGGCAATCCATGACCGTTGGATTTCTCAATCAGATCACCAAGAGTTCCGCCAGAGGCAAATTCCAGTAACAAGTTATAGACCATGTGATCTCCACCCACTTCACTGGTTGTGATTTCTTCACCAAAGCGCTCAATGACAAAAGGGCAACCCTTAATATCCAACAGAACCTCTGCCTCATGCCGGATTGACTCCGAATCAGAGACCTCTGCCGATTTCACCGCCATCAATCCCGGAAAGTTTAGCATGCTACCAAACTCACCCCTTCTTCGGTTTTTGGGAGTGGCAAGAAAAACGGAACCAGAGCTTCCTTCTCCAACCATCTCCCCTCTCAGCCAGTGCTCTCCATGACTCCAAATCCTCTGTTTTTTCTCTTCTTCAAATTCTTCAAATTCTTCTTGTTCGGACTTCCTTTTCATGGTTTCTTTTCCTTCGCAGAAACTAAGGAAATTTTAATTTGTTTGGTGAATTTTAAGGGTATTCGTTTGGAGAATCAGCAGCGTTTATATGGGATAGGGCACATGAATGTGTCGGTTTAGAGTTTGAGGAGAAGTAGGAATCCTAGTGTGTTCTGGATTTTCTTTCCAACGGTCAAGTTTTATTTGGTTGGTTTGAATTGAGACGTGAACGCCAAGCTAACTCAAACCACTACGAAGTTAGCTCTTTTGACAGCTGCGAAATTACCAATCACAGCCAGGTAAGAAAGAGAACGGAAAAATTGGAAACTTTTTAACCAAGGAAAGAGTAAAGCCGGTGGATACTTATCTACTAATACGAGTACGGAAAACCGGACAAGATGTTTCTAACTAATTAATTTTTTTTTTCATAAATAATTCATTAACGTTACAAACCCACCAATTCCTTTTTGGGGCTTTATCATATAAGAACAAATAGAAGGACACCAAAATAAAATTGTCCAGTACCTTAAATAATTCTCGGGTGACTAACTAAAAGTGACATAAGAGTTCTTTCATGTAATTGTTGGACAGCAATTGGACCGATTGTCCAATTTTGGGGGGAGCTGGACTATTTTAACATTTTGTCTTATATGAAAAACTTTTTTTTATTTTATCATTTTCTGTTACTTTTTAGTTTCTGGAAATTTCATTGATTAATAAGAAAACCTTTTATTTTTCTGTAAATTACGGCTAGTTCGATTTAAAGCATGTTGCCTAGATTTTCTTTTAAAAAATAATCATAATTGGAATAGGTAATCAGATTGATTTTGTTGTCTATTGTGTAATTGAAGTGGAGGCTTGTAGCTTCAATTAATAGTCTAGATAATTCAACCCACATAAGTCTTAAGTTCAAATTCTCTTCTCCAAAGTCATCCAAGTAAGATATTTGATCGACTTTAGGACTTGTTTGGTATGTCGGACTGTATTAATTAATTTTTATCGGATAGTATTAATTTATTTATAAGGTGTTTGGTGCTGTTTTGGATAAAATATTCTGACTAAGTTATATTGTGTTTGGTGCTCCGTCGGATAAAATGTATACCACTAGGCAGACACTCACACAAACAATTTTCATAGCATGTTTTTGGTGGCAGTTTATTATATGTTTATAGGCTTTATGTGTCATTAAATCAAATGGATGCCAACATTACGTAGCTGTATGAAATGGTAGCCAGTCTTCCTTGTATGATATTATTCATCAAAGGGAAGAATGCCTTGTTAGAGTCCACCAGCCATGAAAGATGCTCATGTTGGCGTTTGGCTTAACGACTTCATGTTTGATAGAAGCTGATGTCCTCAGCAATTGCAACTTTCCTTCCCAGGGCACGGCCAAATGCTGCCCGTCAACAGAACTTGCATAACAAAGTTCGGCTATTTTTCAAAACCTTCAAAACTAGATTAGCAATCTAAATGCCAATTTCCTTTTAAATGTGAAAATCACAATTCGATTGAAGGTCTGCTTCATGGCTCCCTCAGTTTTCTCGTTTAAAGATAGAATTTGTAGAGATAGAATTTATTTTACTTACATTTTCTACGTACTAAACAAACTTTATAAATAGAATATATGAATAAAATTGATGAAATAAATAAAATAAATAGGGGGCGAAAACATGGGTTTAATGCTCCAATGACCCAAAATAAAAATCAAGAAAAATAACTCTTCTTTCAAAAGTTTGAAAAACCAACTGTTTCTGCATATGGGGAAAGCGCTTTATATGCTCATCTCAATCCATCTCAACTCATATCTTGGACACGATGGTCTTTCCCAATACAGAAATGGTTAATTTTCTACTTCAGAAACAAATGAGTTATTTTGCGTACTGGTTTTCATTTTGGGTCATTTCACCATAAAAATCCCGAAAAAAAAAACATCATGCCTTGATTACATCTAAGCATTATCCAACTGAACTGAGTATCCCGGATCCATTGGAAAACTGGCATTCATCTCTTTCAGCTGCTCAATTACGCCAAGCAGAAGATACTTCCAACTCAACATCTTCTTCCCACCAAGTAGCGCTCTGCAATATTAGATCACATCCCATCCAATTAGATTTTCAAGTTATTGTTCTTCCTTTCATAATATGTTTTTGCATTTGAATATTTAAATGATTTGAGAGGGAAACTGGTAACTTCTGAAATTGGTTAAATAAAGAGGGAGAAATGACCATAGACAAGGTAAAAGGTGCTCCATGACATTCAATTTTCTAGTCCATTTCATCAAGTCGACCAGTTCAATAGCATTTCAGTTAGTCATATTTAACAGCTGGTAAGACATTGAAATTTTTGCAGTCAGAAATTCCAAACCAGAACCAGCAACCTAGGTTATCCATATGAAACGGTGTTGTGAGGAAAGTAGACAATAGCAGTAGACAGAACAGCAACTGGAACATGGTGCACTCCACTTACCAACAATGCATTACAATCAAGATACACTATTTACAATGTGTCCCATGGTATGCTCTATGAAGCAAGAATGTGTAACAACCACAGAACTATTCTGTTACGTCAATGTAGAACAATTTTGTTCTTTTTCATGGAAACACCACTTTGGGCTTTGGATTTAAATTCTCAATGCTTGGGTAGTTTTGAGTTTGTAACATTGCTAAAGGAATTTTTTTTTTCCTAGAAACTTCATAATCATAAACATATTCGTATCTTTTATACAAAACTTCAGAAAAGCAGATTGCAGAAGTAATGCATTGCCAAAATCTATTGTGGAGAGCATGAGTTTACTATGATCCCAGATTGCAGCAGCAAATTTCAGTAACTGTGCCGTACAATATGGTGCATAACAATGCACCTAAGAAAAATTTCAAAGGTTTCAATAAACAATGGAGATTGTCATCCAAAACACCGTACCGAGTTCCTTGACTTTATTTAGATGAATCAAATTTTAGGAATCCGTATAAATGATTTGGCCCTTATTGGATCAAGGGGAATTATTACTTAATTTCACAAATTGAGCTTTCCTTTAAATCTTCCGTTTTCTAATGGAAAAGGACAACCTTTACAAAGCCACAGATTGCAGAACCACTAAGAAACATGACAGGGTGGTATGCATGCGAGCGTGTGAGTGAATGTGAGAAAGAGAGAGAATGAACGTTGGGGGTTGGTTATTTAAATTCCAAAAGTTTAAAAACATAGGGAAAACTAAGGTTGGGGATTGCCAATTTAAATTTATAATATTATTATAGTAAGAAATTAGTGAGACCAAAAATAGGAAAAACTATCTATAGATAAAGGAAAACATTTAAGATAAGGAGAGCTAACCCTGTAGCCTCTACGAAGAAATTGCAGCGAGCTTCCTTGTTCCTCTTGCAGTCCCAGGACCCTCAACAGTTCTTCTTTTGTCTAAACACCACACAAATAATCAGCCTGAAAGCGTACCAAAGTATTCCCAGCAACTAACAGAAAGTAACTAATAACTGGAGCTTGAGAAAGATATATACTTCACCCAGAGTGAAGCGTGTTGCACTCTCTGCTACGCAAGCAAAAGAACCATCGGCTTGTTTAAGCATTACCTGCCAAGGCCCTGCACAAATTTGAGAAAAGATGAGACACCGCCACATGCTGAATGAAGCACACACACATACTGAAGAAAACAGTGGATGCGTTAGAAAAATAAAGTGCAACAAAATCATGGTTAACAATCACAAACAAGCTGATTGTACAGCAATACCTTCCTGGGGTTACAAAAGCGCATCCATAATGAAAACATAAAATCAATTCCAGCTAATGCACAGAAGATAACATAAATCCGTGCCAACTGATTAGGAGATAATTAACAAGAGTAGTAGAAAAATGACAAAGGCTCAAAGAGACACTGAAAGCAGTCGCATGGTAAAACTTTGTAAATGTCCAGTGAGAATCAGATCTATCAATTGTACAATGCATAGCATGTTATCGACATTGTCATGTTTTCCAAGTAAAAGAAGGAAACAATTGAACTATATGGTGAATTTCCTAACTTCTAAAATTTATAAAAACAATAAAAGTGGGAACTTTTTTTTTCCTTCTCCCAGTAACAAAATTTTGTTGATAAATAAAATGATACTAATGGGACGAAAGAGATGTCAATCAACACCCTAAGTACAAATTTAAACTACAATAAAATCAAGGCTCCCCCAAAATCAAGAAGAATAACACTAAAAGGAATATCTTTAAAGTGTTTAGACAAAGATGCCCAAAGAGAAGCTGACAGTAGAACTATAGTTACTTCCCGAACACATTAATTTTTCTAATATTTCTTCCAAACAAACTCTATTTTGCAGAATAGATATTCAAACGTAAAGAAAACAAAGATAACCAATTCACTCTGCAAGCTGTACAAATGGTCCCAAAATAATCAAACTCTAAGGGCCCGTCTGGTAACGTTTTCGGAGAGTGTTTTCTGAGAATATTTTCAGAGAATGAAAACAAGAAAACAAATTTGCATTTTCAGGAAATGAAAATGCGTCTGGTAGATTAATTAGAAAACATCTTTAGAAAACAAAAACAATGAAAACGTGTTTGGTAGTACAATTATTTTTCAAGTGTATTTTTGCTAATTTATGTTCTAAAAAATATTTTTTTTAATGTATAATTTGACAAATAAAAAATTATATTGTTTTTTTAAGTTAAACTTTTTTTTATCTTCCTCCTTTCTTCTTTTTTCCTTTTTTTTTTTCCTTTTATACTCTTTTTTTTTTCTTCC